CTCTCTGTAGGTCCTCAGTGCATCATGCCTGTCCCTGCCCTGCACTGCAACACCTCTTCGATATTTGCATGCGAGCGATGAACTAAATATCCTGTGTGTGCTCAGGGCCTGTGGACGTGCTCCTGGCCGGGAAGCTGAACTGCTCAGAGATGTCATTGCCTGACTGTCCTGCCTCGAGGGAGCATCATTGAGTCATAGAATCATTGTTGTTGGAAAAGACCTCTAACACCAAGTCCAACCATCGACCCAATACCACCATGCCTGCTAAACCATGTCCTGAAGTGCCACATCTACACAGTTTTTGAACACCTCCAGGGATGGGGACTCCATCACTGCCCTGGGCAACCTGTTCCAATGCCTGACCACTCTTTCAGCTGAGAAATTTTTCCTAATATCCAATCTAATCCTCCCCTAATGCAACTTGAGGCCATCACCAGGGTCTCCAATTGGTCTCCAGCACTGGTTTTTACCAAATGTATAAGAACATTGCGCCTCAACTCCAGTGCTTGGATTTGGTGGCCAGTGGGTTGAAAAAGTCACGGGTGGAAGGGACAGCCTAGTTTTCCTCTAGTCCTGCTGACACGTCTGTATTGGGCAAAGTGTTTCATTAACGAACTATGTTGAGCTGTTGGGCTCAGCTCCAGCGAAGCAGTTCAATAAAGTTCGGGGTGTAAATGGGGGTCTGGAGCCAAGTGGAGCTCAGTCTTGGTTGTCTCCTAGCCTTGTCCTCCACAGTTTACAGTGCGACAGATCCCACGGCTGCCAAATGGCCGATTCCTAGAAAACCCAACATTTTGCATGTGAAGCACAACTAAGCCTCTGACGGACACCGAAGCACCTTCCGAAGCTGAGGGCAGGCTGTTGAAGAACCATTTTTGCTTGCAAATCCAGCAGTGAGGAAGTTGCAAGGGTTCGTACGGGGGCAACGTGGCGTGCCCCTTCTTGTCACCCTTGGAAGACACGTGAACCTCATCGTCTCACCTACTCTGCCCTCCATCATCATCATTCCTGGGAAGGAGCCACCCTAAGGCGTCTCCACTGTCTTTTCTCAGTCTCCGAGTGACTGATGACAAAATCGGTCCCTCCTCCTGCCCAAAGGCTTTGTTCCAAGCCAGGAATAAATCCCCATGCCACACGAGACGTGCCATTACCACCCCGCAACATTGCCAGCCAGAGAAAGAGGAAGCCAGAAAGCCTTCCAGAAGATATTCCCAGAGCTAGCCACCCTCCCCAGTTTCACTGCCAACTCCCAGTTGCTCTGGCTACCTTCCAGCCACTGCTTTGGCTGTGCTTTTCTCTGCCGGATTTCAATGCCCAGGAACCTCTCTTGCTGCAGAACCGCTCAGGTCTCCAATGAAGCTATGTCCAGAGGACGGAGAAGTCACCTCTCCATGTTTTATTTAGCGAGCTTAGCAAATGGAGATCCTCCAGCTCCTTCATGCAAAGCTGTTTCTCCAGTGTTCAAGTGATTTGTTTTTGGGGACTCTCTGCTGCATCTTCTTGTATTTTAACCTCCTCTTAAACCAGGAGCATGAGGAGTTGTGGAGACCTGCTGCTGGAGCTGCACACAGAGAGGTATAACATCATGGTGGGGGTGATTCTGGATTGAGTCTTTACGTGGCTTTGGGTCTTTCTTGGGATTTAAAATGGGAAAAAAGTATTCCTTTCTGTGTAAGATCTGAATTTCTGGAGGAAAAGATGCGTCTTATCAAGATTTGGGTGTGCAAATACCTTGAAGTGAACCAGGCCCTGAGCACGTGGTCGTTGCTTTGAGTAAAAGGCTGCTGAAACATCTGCCTGCCTGTGGTATACGTGGAGGAGATGGTGCCGTGGATCAGGGCATGGGAGCTAGCAGGTGTCCGTGTGAAGGGGATAATTCCTCTCAGGGCGGTGACGTAGTGGCATCTGTCCACAAAAGAGATTGTAATTAGAGGTCACAACGTGCATCCTTTAAATATATTGTTTGGATCCAAACACGGTTGCTAAATCCCTACAGACCGCGTTTGTCAAAGCCTTATAAATACAGGTTAATTCCTTCCTCTTGCAGTGTCTCTTGGTCTCGGCAGCTTTGTGGTGGAGCTCCACAATGTCAACCAAAGCCGTGAAGACACTCTTCCTGCTGCTCCTTCTTCTCCCTGCGGTGTCCCAGGCTGCTGCAAGTAAGTGTAAAAACAACCAGTGGGCATTTCTGTGTTTGGGAGACTGGGAGCGGTTCTGTAAACGAGGAACAAACTCGTGGTACGTGTGCAGCTGACGTGATACTCGGCATCGAACCTGCCTGCCTAGCACTGAGTAGTCAAACCCCAGTTAGCCATTTCAGTGCTAAGGGGTGGAGACCATCACCGTCTGCAGAACTCATGAATGCTTTCCAACATCGCAGCAGAACTCAACAGCAGGTTGACGTTCTCCCCGAGATGCCACTTGTGGTATCTGCAGACCGAGCTGTTGCTAACACGGGGACAGGCTTTCTTCTTGCGTGAAAATCCAAAGGAAGATACTTACAGGCTCTTTTTCTCAATTACAGAGTCAGACACCGTGACGTGTCGGAAGACCAAGGGCAAGTGTTCGTTCCTGCTGTGTCCCTTGTTTGCGAAAGCCACCGGTACCTGCTACAATGGACTGGCAAAGTGCTGCAGGCCCTTATGGTGACCCTTCGCGGTCCATGGGAGCATCAGCAGCGGTGACAGCCGTAACGTAGTTTTGTCCTTCTTTACATGGGTATGTGTTGGCTTTGGTGCTGTCTTTCCTCAGAGCCGGTGGAAGTTTCTTTTGCATGTGGCCGTGTGTCTGCTCTTCACTCATGCATCCACACCTGGGAAATCACTCTGTGGCACCTCCTCATCCACTGGACCCTGTCCCTCCACTGTCACCAAGGCAGGGTTGAACTGGTAGCCTGAAACTGGGCAGCTCCTCTCCTCTCCCTGCCAAGGGTGGTTTGTGGAGGGCATCAGGCAGAATTCCTCCTCATTTTGGGTAGAGTGTGATGTGTCCCGTGATGCCAAGATACTGCAGCAGACCTCAGCCATCCCATATGCCCTCCTGTGGTAGACCCACGTGGAGCCCTGATGGTGTTGGTTGTCACCCTGGTGTCCCAAGCAGAGAGCACAAGGCTGATTTCCAGTCACTGCAGAAGTTTAGTTGGGAAGGGGCTCCCTGTTACAGCCCTGTTGCTTCACCTTGGAAGAGCCCATGGAGGGGTGAGGTATGGAGGGCTGGTGCTAGGCAAGGCTCAGATCTGACAGTGCAGTCCCCTGGGACCTTACTCCAGCTCTTTGACTTCTGCATTGCCCTTTCCTCCCACTGCATGCCAAATGGATGCAGGGTAGGGACACCACTGCTTTCTCTCCCCACATCTCTCCCACCTTGTCCCTGCCCATGATGTGCCTCTCTGTCTTCATGCTCACCAGCCAGGTCCTGCATGGTGAGGTCCCAGCTCCTCTGGCCAGACCTTCTCTCTCCCCTGGGGCACGGAGTTGCTCCTGCCAATGTAATATTTAGAAATACGTTGGTTAGCATCTGTTAACTTGCCCACCTTCTTCATGCAGGATGGCTGCCTTTCCTGAACTGATGGGGAAATGTGAAATATATTCCTAATTTTCCCACCTTCCCTGTAGGATCCCTTTGCTCTTCCATTATTTATGGACAATTTATTTCCCATCTCACCTTACAATAGTCTCAAGAGACGGTCTTTTATCTTCCAGCTTTCCCATCTTGTATCCTCAGAAGGTGCTGTCCTGGCTCAGTCATCTGTCCACCTTCTCAGAGGACATCTGTCTGCCTCAGACCCTGCTCTGGAGGGGAGGTCTGGTCAACTCTCATTTGACCTCTATCGTGATCTAGCAAGGGCTGGAAACTGAAGCCTTCAGGGATGTTCTGCTGCTTTCTTGAAGGCTCTGCAAGATATCTCAGCCTTCCAGTGTGGCAGCAATCTGTAGTCTTTTCCTCTCCTCTAACATGTATTCGCTGTGTCTAAAGAGGCTGTGGTTCACAAACTATTAGACTTGTGTAAATATCTAATAAAGCGTGAGTAATAAGTGGTACCCGTAAATGTAAATGTAAAATGGCTTTTCACGGCACCATAACACAACGCACTTTGAGCAATTCGTTGGTGAGGAGCGTGTTGATCCCTCTGGTTTTGGGGGTGTAGGGCCTAGGTCCTGCGGACCTTCCATCCAGCCACATGTCCAAAACCTGGGAAAGGTTTTCTAGGTCATCTCCTACCCGATCCCAAGTCCAGAGGAGATTTGATTAACTCCACAGTCAGGGAGCTCAGATTTGTTCAGGCCAGGAAGACGCCTTAAAAAATCTCAGCAGACATCTGTGCTGCTTTTGGTGTAGCAGCTTCTCCAGGTGTAGCTAGCCCTGCAAAAGGACTGCAGCTAATGTTATTGCATAGCACCTTGCCATTGCCAAAATAAAAAAAATCTCTAATAATAATCAAGCTCTCCAAGCCCAAAGGTGATATTCAAACCTTAATCACGCCTTCCATCTATCGATTTGAAAGTCCTTTGTAATGGTGAACTGAGGCTTGCACCGCCCCTAGGAGGTAGCCAAGCAAACAAAAGGTAACTGCTGCTGTAATTAAACCAGCTCTTCCACCCAGGATTAATTTTAACCCTTTTAGTTCAGGGTTAAGAAATAATAATAGGCCAAAACCAGATACTTGGTGGCATGCCAAAAAGTTGCAGTGACCATCACGGGGCTGGCTTTCAGGAATAGTAAGTGAGACTCCTCGGTGGTTGTATAATCATTGCAATTAGGAAAATGGGTGCTTTGCAAACCATGCGAGAATTGCTACTCACACTGCGCTGATGAAGAAACTGGGGCGCAGAACAGGGAAGTGTCAGCAAGGTTGTTGCCTCCTGGTCACCCACAGCCAGGAGGAGGAGGAAGGTCTGGGGAGTTGTGCTCTGGCTTCCTAACTTGTTTATTCCCTTTGAAAATAAATGCAGGCATCGCTATCAAAATAGCATGCAAAATCATTCTTAATTGTGACAAACAACCGGGCACAATTGATCCTTTGGTGTAGAGCATGATTGCTGGCCACCACATCCCAGGAATCTGAAAAGCCATATCGTGGCTATCGTGCGGCAGGCATGGAAAAATCTCTTCTTCACCGAACTCAGGAAGATTCACTACACTGGAAAAATGGATAATCACAGAATCATAGAATCACAGAATGGTAGGGGCTGGAAGGGACCTCTGTGGGTCATCTAGTCCAAACCCCCTGCCGAAGCAGGGTCACCTACAGCAGGCTGCAGAGGACCTTGTCCAGGCGGGTCTTGAATATCTGCAGAGAAGGAGACTCCACAACCTCCCCAGGCAGCCCGTTCCAGTGCTCCGTCACCCTCAGAGGGAAGAAGTTCATCCTCATGTTCAGACGGAACTTCCTATGGTATCTTTCAGTTTGTGCCCGTTGCCCCTTGTCCTGTCATTGGGCACCACTGAAAAGAGTCTGGCCCCATCCTCCTGACACCCACCCTGCAGATATTTAGAGTCATTTCGAAGGTCCCCTCTCAACCTTCTCTTCTTCGGGCTGAACAAGCCCAGCTCCCTCAGCCTCTCCTCGTAGGAGAGATGCTCCAGTCCCCTCACCATCCTCGTAGCCCTCCGCTGGACTCTCTCCAGTAGCTCCTCATCTTTCTTGAACTGGAAATGCCTTCATCGTCTGAAGGGGGTTCACAGTCTGAGGCTCAGTGAAGCCCAACAAGACTGGAGAGCTGGACAGCCCATGCTTTACTCATCCAGTGGACAGGAGTAATGAGGAGCACCAAAACAGCCCGCACAGTGATGTACTCTGATTAGCACTGTCCCGGTGGAGAGAAGAGGAGGTAGTGAGGGCAAAGTGAGTCTTGGCTTGCCTACAGAAGGTATCACATGGACCTAGCTGGCCTTCACGTGTTGAGCCACCTGCATGCACGTCTTTCAACCCGTGTTTTGCTACACACCCTAGCTGCAAGTATTTCTCAACACCTTAGAGAAGGCTTTAAGCAATAGTCCTTCCCTGATGGACCTAGGTCACGTCTTTTGCAGGTCATTCCCCTTCTTGAGGTGGTGTAGCAGAGCGGTTGTGAGGGGTGATTGTGGATAACGTTAGGAGATGCAGAGATCAAATTTTTGTTGCAGTAAAAGGGTGATTCTTAGAACAGCTCGTCCTGGCACCCACAAGAAGAGTCACCTTCCTGGATTTGGTCATGAGTGGTGCAAATGACCTAATTCAAAAGTTATTTGTGAGAGAGATGCTCTGTAAAAGTGACCATAATACAGTTAGGATTAACTGTGTTGTGGGACCAAATACATTCAACATATGAATATTTAATCTCAAAAAAGCAAAAATGAGGAAAGAAAAGCACCAAAAGGAGCAGCCCAGAGGAGCAAGAACCCAGCAGGCATCTTGAAAGATGTTAAAAAAGCTGTGCCAGAAACCTCAGTAAAATATTTGCTTTGACTGGGAAAGAAAACAAAGAGGTCTAAGAAAAATCCCTGCAGGGCATGAAGGGCAAGTCAAGGCAGGGTCTCGAAGGGAAAAGCTCAGTGGGGAACAAATGGCTGACAGAGGAGAACGGCAGCTCCCATAAAATATGGCAGGCCAGATTCAAGCAGGGAAGAGGACTAAAAAGGAAAATGAAGATGCCTTTGCAACAGACACCTGAACTGAGAGTAGAAATGTCAGTAAATGCGTGGAAAGCCGGAAGCCATTGGGGGAGTCCTTGATGAGAAAGGAATAGGAGGGCACTTAGGAGAGGCATGCTGTAGCTCAGTACACTCTTCTGTCCATGGCAAGATAGGAAAGACTATAACAAAAATAAAATTGTTGAGCATGGGCAGTGAATTTCTGGACATTGTTAGCACAGGAGGTTGTGAAGGTAGAAAAGACCATCAGGCCCAAAAAGAGTTAGGCAAATTCACAGACAGCAGGTCCTCACATGGGTGTTGAAAGGATGGGCAAGGATTTCCCCTGCAATAGCCTCACCTTTGCAATTATGGATGCTGGGGCACAACAGGAGGACTTCCCACAGATAGTGCCCAGGCTCACATGCTCTCCTTGAACAGCTGGGAAGGTTTGTAAAGAGCAGGCAAAGAGAAGCAAAAAGAAGGCATGGCAAGGGGCTGCAAAGAAGAAGGAAGAATAGCATCCAGAGATAGGCAAGGGACACTTAGCAGTCTCTGGAGCCAGGCCAGTGGCAATATGTTTCTGACTGTGGTGTTTAATGGCAATCAATGGATCTGTAAACCGTTTTTCTCCTCAGTTACAAGCTGTGAACCAAAATGTGCAGCCCTTGGATGAGCCTGTGGCCTGGCCTGCTTGATGGCAATGCCCGTGAAAAGGTGACAGCGGGGATTTCAGGTGCTGAGAGTTTTCTCATGGAGAAACCTCTGGGAAACACCCTGCTGGGATTGCTCGCACATACTTCAGTTTTTGTGAGTTGGGTGCCCATTGATGCAAGCCTCCGTGGGCTTTGGCTCTTGTTGGGAGGCTGAAATCCTTTCCATACTCAATTCATTAACTGTTTACTTAATTGAGTTGCTCTCTGGAGCATCTCTCATCACAGAATCACGTAATCACAGAATCACAGAATGTTAGGGGTTGGAAGGGACCTCTGTGGGTCATCTAGTCCAACCCCCTTGCCAAAGCAAGGGTCACCTAG